ACTTTGTGTAGTCCATCCCACATGTTCTTTAGCCATTCTTTGTCTATTTTCCTTGTAGATTCAGCCCACTACAACCATATTTGATTACCTGCACATAATGTTTAACAATTCATCAAAGTATGGAAATTATTGGGCAAAATCACATCAATTCAACTCATTTAATAAAGTTTATTACGTTCCCAAAATTGTTTGAGTATACATATCTATGCCAAATAAGCACTAAAGTTGTCAAAAAAAAAAAGATTAGGCTATCACGAATGGGAACTACATCTCAACTCCAAAAGTGTTGCCACCTCAGCTCCACTACCACTCCACGAACCTTAAGTTATGATGTATGCCTGTAAGAGCATCCATAATGCTCAGTTCAGTTGTAGAGTTGAATGAGGTGACAAGTCTAGTTGTCAGTCAATGGATAAAACTTTACCATTATGAGAAGCCATATTGACATTAAATGAATTTTAAGTTAATGGTCATTGAACTCTTCAATGAGAAAAATGAAAGTTCTCTGATTCTTAAATAAATACTATAAATTAGCTTTTTGTAATGTTATATTGAACTTTGTAGAGTTTAACGCATTGTAGGAAAAAATATTAGAGTTGTATAGAATGTTGAAAGATGATGTAGCAATGCATTGGACTCTATTGATTTCAATGCATTATAGATGTCCTAATGCACATTGTGTTAGGCAAATGCATTATAGATGTCCTAATGCACATTGTGTTATGCATATGTGACATGTATTATAGCATGTGAACACCCCATATGTTATTCTGATGTGGAATGGAGGTGGGTTAAGCTGGTAATATGGTTTAACGCCACTTTCTTTCATTCTTTCTCTATCTCACTCTCTTTTATATTATTTTTATATTAAAATGTTAGAAGAATTTTGGGGGTGGTGGAGTGGTAGGTAGGTATTTCTTAGGATAAGTGGTTAGAAAGTGATGCTGATGTGAGGTTGAGACAAGAAAACTTTGTGTGTTATAGTGTTATGAACACATCCGATAGCCGTGGGAAATACTCATTATTCCACAACATATATATCGTTTTACTTTTTAGTATTTAAATACAACCTTTTATATAAAAACAAAAAATTCATAAAACTTAATAAAAACTTCATTAATAAAAAAACTACATTAATAAAACTATTTTTTACACATAACTTAAACACTACCTTAATCTAAAAATAAAAAAATACTTTGATAAAAGTAAATAAAAATTACTAATCATCATATTTTCTCGAATTTTCCTTTTAAGCTTTAAAAACCCTTGGAGGTCTTCTGGCAAAAGATCCGGTTGGGATGTTGTGTTCAAAATTTGCATATCAGGAAAAAAACATTTGTTGTTCCCGTCTCGCTTCAGTTTTAGTTTTTAAATTTTTTCTTTAGTAAAATAAGATGTTCATTTAACTTTTCCAAAAACGATTGCATGACATTTCCTTCAGATACGTTTTTATGAAGATGATGCCGTCCGTTTTTCTTTGTCCCTTCCAACCAGTAGTTGAAGGGTGACTTATGGTGGATCCCTGTCGATGTCATCGTTGAGTTCGATTCGTGTACCTGCATCCAACGTATTTGTGTAGTTGTTTGAATTTGTTTGTTGGAGCCAGTGAATTGCAAAAGACCTTCCGAATTAAGCACCCATTTTGGACCTTCTCGTGTAACTAGCCATGATTTTTGATGGTCAAATGTTTTATCACTGTGGGTGCCAAATTGTTGAAGCGAGGTAATTAAAATGTTAAATTTGTTGGATCCACTTTTATGCATGTTTGTAAGATAGGTAAACACGACGTTAAAGCTGATGCAAGTTACTCTTAACTCACCCCATTTTCCATTTATACATTCGAAAGTATGATATTCACCATTTCCTATTTTGGCATGGAATTTCACTAAAACACGGTTCTAAAAAGTCTTCGTGTATTGGTAGTTGCTGCTACGTTGGTCTTCAGATATAAATATCCAAACTCGTGTTAATGTCACTTCCTCATCTTTGCTCCAACTCGTAGCACCTTTGTTTGTCTTTATTTTATTTTTTTCTTCTTGAATGTTTTGGTTGCAATTTCGGTACCAATTCGTTGTCATTGTGGGAAGGTTATGTATGAGATGGTTAGGCCGGAGAAGGTTGAGCTTGAGAATGTTGAAATTAAGAAGGGTGAATTGCTCTTGAAATTGTTGGGGGTAAGTGTTTACTTGAAATTGCTTTGGTTGTTAGAAATAATTTTGTTGAAATGGTGAGCATTGTAACATATTCATGAACACACCGATGAATGAACAATATAAATTTAAGAGTAGAATAGTGGATGTGTGTAAACCATTCTTAAAAAAAAGAATTGGTGTTGTAGTGTAGAAATATGTATATAGTTTGTTAGTATTTATCGTTAAAATTAGATTTTTTTTATTTAATTTTAAACACTTGAACGGTCAAAAAAATAGTCTCGTCTTTCCATCTCTTCTTTGTGATGGCCCGTAGCAGACTCCACTCCACACCACTACCACAAGACATGAGGGCGGTGTTCATGCGTAGACATGCCCTCCATGTCATCCTTACGTGTCTTCCATAGGATGCATACCTTTGGTCTTATGGTTGGTAATATTGGTAGTTTTCGAACAAGAATAGTAAGTTTAAGGTCCTAGATGGGAAAAAAAACATATTAATAATCTAGAGTGAAGAAAAATGACACTCTTCGCTACCGTGACATTAAAATTTTGGTTGTTATAGCTAATTATCTGCTTCTGATTATTTACTTATTTAGTGTTATATTCTCATTTTCCAAATACACGTCCAAACATCCATGCAATGCACAACAACTAGGAGTTATTACTTATTTGCAAGCAAAGCAATAACCAAATAGAGAATGTGGCTTTATGGGCTTCAAGTTCAACTACCATGGGTTTTATTCTTTCTAACTCTAGACTAGTTCTAGTCATTGACGAAGGGAGTTTATTACGCCAAACTTTGTCAAGAAGCCCATACCAACACTATTCACAATTTACATCCTTGTTTGCTATTAATTTCGATTATATTTGCATATTTTATTTTAATATAAAACAACTTCATAACAGGTATACAACGACCAACATAATGGCAACATAAGAGTTAAAGGCAGCATAAGAGTTAAAGTGTCTCATGTGAAGCCAAATCCACAATATTGGAATTATAACTCGCATAAAAAAAACTTGAATCGAACCTTAGGTGCTGTTTGTTTTTTTGAAGCAAAAATTCATAAAGTCTGCGGACCACCTCTGCAACTCTCTGCAGTAGAAGAGGTGGACCAAACGGCTGCAGACTGTAATAAGAAGTGTGTTTGTTTTTTTAACATCAGCATGCTGCTGCAGATAGGGGTGTGCATAAAACCGCACAAACCGCATAAACCGCCCGCACCACACCACACCACACCGCATAATTCAGTTTTTAACGTTCGCGGTGCGGTTTGTGGTTTGCAATTTTAGTAAACCGCAATATGCGGTGCGGTTTGCGGTTTACAGTTATAAAACCAC